CAATACGTAATCGAAATTTCTTATTGAATATTATTGTGGACCTTATTTTTGAATGTCTGTCTGTCTGTCTGTCTGTCTTTATATATCCATTGTCTGTATTTCTTTCTTTCTTTCTTTCTTTCTTTCTTTCTTTCTTTCTCAAAACCACATCGAAATCTTCTTCCATCTTCTGGTATTGACAGACGTGATAAAAGTGGTGGTGGTGGTTGTTGAAGTAATGGTGGTGGTAGTGGTGGTTGAGATAGTGGGTGTTGGTGGTGGTGATGTTGGTGGTGTTGATGTTGGTGGTGTTGATGGAGGGAGAGTGTCAGTCAGTCAGTCAGTCGGTCAGTCAGTCAGTCAGTCAGAGAGTCAGTCAGTCAGTCAATCAGGGAGTAGGGCTTGTACGTGACCTTCTCTTCCACCACCTGTGACTCACCTGGATAGATTCACCTGTTGACACCTTAACTAATTAGTACCAAATAGTTGAACTTTAATGCAACATAAACCCGATTTCCTTTCGTTAGACCAGAAACCTATAGAATTCATTCCAGTGGTATAATTCATTCCAGTGGTATAATTCATTCCAGTGGTATAATTCATTCCAGTGGTATAATTCATTCCAGTGGTAAAATTCATTCCAGTGGTATAATTCATTCCAGTGGTATAATTCTTTCCAGTGATATAATTCATTCCAGTGGTATAATTCATTCCAGTGGTATAATTAATTCCAGTGGTATAATTCTGCAGGGAAGGAATACAAATTATCTTCCCTTGACAGATAATGGGTCGCCTGATGATAATAATTGCATGTAGTTGATGACGATGAACCACGAGCCGTTCACTGCATCACAGAGCCAGGGGGGGTAGGACTGCTCTCTCTGTGATCCGCCCGAGGTCTGGTTTAGAGCTTTTGGCAATTAGGAGAGTGATGTTGGCGATCAGTGAAGCTTGTTGCAGACACGCCACACCACCCTGCCTTACCTTCCCCTACCTCCTTCCTTCCCTCCTTCATTCACTCCCCTACCTCTCCTTCCCTCTCTTCCCCTTCCTTCCTTCCTTCCTTCCTTCCTTCCTCCTTGACAATGCACCTACCTCCTTTCTGCTGCTTCGACCACACACACACACACACACACACACACACACACACACACACACACACACACACACACACACACACGAGAAACTCTCCTCTTAATAGCTTTAGACGACAGAATGTATTTAACTGACCCAACTGAACACATAGATAGAGAGTTATAATGTTAATTAATGTTATTTTACCTTAACTGGAGGTGTAGGAATGTATCTAACCTAACCTAACCTAACCTAACCTAACCTAACCTAACCTAACCTAACCTAACCTACCCTAACACGGAGAAGATGGACAAAATGGCGTCTTTATTACGCTGAGACTTTGAGACTTCCTCCTCTTCCTTCCATCTCCTCCTCTTCCTCTCACCTCCTACACCTCCTTCCACCTCTTCCTCCCACCTCACTCATACTCATCCACACCTCACTCATACTCACTCATCCACACCTCACTCATACTCACTCATCCACACCTCACTCATACTCACTCATCCACACCCTATATTCACTCATCCACCCCTCATACTAAGTCTTCCTCACTCATCCACCCTCCATACCCACTCATCCTCACTCATCCGTCTCCACACTCCACTCATCCACCATCCACACCCCACCATCCACACCCCCATCCACTCATCCACCCCCCATATCCACCATCCTCACCTGTCCACACCACTCATCCACACCTCCATCCACCATCCACCCCCACATCCACTCATCCACACCTCCATCCATTTCATCCACACCTCCACTCCACCTCCATCCTCATCCACACACTCATTCATCCACCTCCCATATCCACTCATCCTCACTTTACACCCACTCATCCACACCCTCCACCCACTCATCCTCACTCATCCACACCCTCCACCCACTCCCTTCATCCACACCCTCCATCCACTCATCCACCCCTCATCCAACATCATAGATAAACGGGAGTCTCGGTGCAAATTCGTCGCCATTTTGTCATTTTATCACACGGGAAATATGATGGATGTAATATCGTTTAGAGGGTGTTCTGGCCGGGGGCATTAGGTGAGGTATGGGCTTATAAAGAATTCCTTCACCTCCAGGGAGAGAGGGGTGAGGGGGAAGGGGGGAGGGAGGAGTGGGAGGGGAGGGGAGAGGGAGAGAGAGAGAGAGAGAGTTTCATTCGCATCAGCTGTTAATAGGACATTGACGTCATCCACTTGATAATATTATGCTAATGGTCTTTCCCTGTAGTCAAGGGTGAGGCGGTTCAGGCCAGAGACCTAACCTAGCCTAACCTAACTTAACCTAACCTAACCTAACCTAACCTAACTATATAATGGATAGTGTGGACTTATATAAGGGTCTGTGTGGATAAGGGCCGAGTATAAGGGATCAGGTAGTAAAGGTGTTAGTGGAGGTATTGGCGTCAGGGAAGGTATGTGGCGCCCCTTTGGTGACCGGTTTGCCATAAAGGGATGAGTGGTCTTCAAGGAGGAAGGGGAGGGGGAAGGAGGAGGAGGAGAGGGGAGGGAAGAGGATGAGGGAGGAGGAAAGTGAGGGGAAGGGAAGGGGAAAGAGAGGCAGGAGGAGGAGGAGGAGGAGGAGGAAACGGATGAAGAGGAAGGAAGTGTGTTAAAGGAAATAAGGAAGAAGAATGAAGGAGAATAAGGAGGAAGAGAGGACTTACACGCTTGTATTGCGTACATATCTGCGTCTTTTGCGTACAGTCGGCCACAAGAAGAAGTATACACCTACGGTTCGTGTTTGAGACCTTGTATCTGGTAACACTGTCCTGAACAGATCAGACAAAATTACAAAATAACCTGTAATTTATGTTGTATTCCTACATATATGTTATAAATACATTTGTTGTTATGTTTTACTAGTGTCTTGTGTTTATATTACAAGTAATATATTGTATCCAATGGTGGTAAACTTGTTGCAATCAGGGCCGGATTCAGGAGTGGGCAAAGTGGGCAGCTGCCCAGGGGCCTCCACAATCTGGGGGCCTCCACTTATTACATCTGACCTTGGACTTAAAGAAGCCTATACATGCAATCTTGGACAGAACCATTATTTGAGTAGAGGTTTATCTGATTAATAATGCAAAGAATCATCTCTCTGTAATAACTAATAATATATTCTTTTCTGTGAAGTATCTTGAAAATTTTTGACATGTGCGGTAGTAGCTATATCAGGGCTGGTCGACTTGAAACCACATGAATGACTCCAGTCATGTCTCACTTTTTTGTGTGTGTGTGTGTTGGGAATTTGCACACTATCAATAAAATGTACAGTTAATTAAAAATTTCTCAATGTTCTAATTTCCTCAATATAACGGCACATGGCTTCAAAATTCTCCAAAGAAGTGTTCAAATTTCAACATTTTCCCGGGGGGCTTACAGCGCCCCCCGGAACTCCCGGATGTTTAGGCTCGCTTCACTAGCCACTCTACCCTGGAGAGACCTTCCCACTCATGAGTGGAGTCCCTCAGGGAAGCGTCCTCTCCCCCACCCTATATATTATCTACACAAGTGACACCCCGCCTCCCACTAGAACAGGTAACGAAGATATTATGTATGCAGATGACATCACTCAAATAACAACACATCAAGGAAAATCGCGAGCGTTACAGGCCGAAAACACCAGGCGGGAATTAGAAAGGGTAAATAACTACGAAAAACAATGGAAAATCCAAACCAGTCTCCCGAAATTCACAGTGATACCCTTATGCAGAAGGAAAACCCATCCATTAGTAACCAATAATGCCCAGATAGAATACAAAAGCAGAGGCACCCTCCTGGGCCTACATATATCCACGACAGGTTACTCCCATCATGTCCACAGCAGGAAGGAAAAAGCAAGAAGAGAGCTGAGAAAACTATACCGCTTTAAAGCGCTTCCTGAGAAAATAAAACTCCGCCTGGTGACATCATTTATCACACCGATATTAACTTACCCAGCAATACCTCTTCATACTATGAGCACCACTCAAATATTAAAATTACAGGTGGTCCAAAATGAAGTCCTAAGATTCGTCACAGGTGAAAGATACCCCTTCACCAGAACCAGAGCCGAGATACATAGAGACCTGAGAATGAAACCCATCAACCAGCAGCTGCACACCCTGGCCAACGGAATCTGGCAAAAGATAGAACGATCAGAGCAAGAACTCCTTCAAAGACTCCCACCAGATAACGACAACAACCATACATGGTTCCCAAAAAGTTACCAAATCTCAAAAGGTCCATTACCACCCCGATCTACACGGCCAGGCAATAGACAACCTCCCTAGACCAACATCCGCCAGTAGGGTCGACGGAATATGAAATAAGGCCCTTAAAACACCCATATATGGGACAGGGTAGGCTGTCTAGTGCCTGTACCGGCAGACAATAACTAACCCATGACACAACCCTAACACACTATTAGCTTAGCTAGGCGGTCAGCCCGCCCTCTCTTTCCTCCTCCTAAACTTCTTCAATTTCCGAACTGTAACTTCCTTCCCCCACCTCTAATCTTCTTTCACCCCTTCTTTCTCTACAAAAAAAAAACCTCTTGGGTAGTTATAATGAGGGGGGCCTCCACAAAGAGGCTGCCCATGGGCCTCCACAGGTCTAAATCCGGCACTGGTTGCAGTTATCGTACAGCTCCCTCCTCCTCCCCCACTTTTTCTCTTGCCTTACTTTTTTTTACTGATTTTTGGATTAGTAAAGGAAGGAAGAGGAGTAAATAGAAGAATATAGAAGGAAAAACAGAAAATAGTTAGAGATAACATGTGGGGGAGCTGAGTTTCATCATGCGTCTGGATGCGCAGTTTCAACGTTTCCAGACCATTTTCAGGCCTAACAGCTACTTATTCCTGTGGTCGACTGTACACAGGTAAGATGATAAACAAACATTAATTAAGACAGGTATATTACAGGTAAGATGGTTATTTATATCTTATCTCATTTCAGACTCTGTTACCCACCTCTTGATCTGGCACTCAAGCGGTCATCCAAGACGAGAATTGCAACTCAAGCGGTTACTCATCCCCTGACCTGACACTCAAGTGGTTGCTGAATCCGGCTTTGATACTCAAGCAGTCACCCACAACAGGTATTCTCACTGACTGGTTACTCGCCATGGAACTCACGCTCGAGCGGCGTCACTCATAAAAAACGCCCAATCAGTCACTCGAGCCGTCACTCATTTAGCCGTCACACAAAAATCGTCACTCTGTTGTCACCCAAGAGCCGTCACTCAGGAGTCGTCACTTAAGAGCCGTTACTCAAGAGCCGTCAATCGAAGAGCTGTCACTCGAAGAGCCGTCACTCGAGGAGCCGTCACTCAAGAGTCGTCACTTAAAGCCGTCACTTAAAGCCGTTACTCAAGAGCCGTCACTAAAGAGCCGTTACTCAAGAGCCGTCACTAAAGAGCCGTCACTAAAGAGTCGTCGCTCAAGAGCTGTCAATCGAGAGCCGTCACTAAAGAGCCGTCACTCAATCAAAAGCCACGTTCAAGTCCAATTGTTTAAAGAAAATATTATTAAATAAAATTAAAGACTCAATAAAACGTCGTGAGTAACAGTTCCTCCCCAATCGTTACTCAGAGTCCCGTCCCCAAACATTCTGTCATCTTTGGTAACTCGAGAAAGTAATCCATCGATAATACAGACCGGTAACTCACTTGGTTACTCATTAATGATTCAGTAACTCATGTTGAAGAAGGTGAGAGGCAATGAGTGATAAAGATTGAGAGAGATGACTTCAGATAACTAGATGATGACGTCAACAGCATCAGGCACAAGACATCAGGTGAGAATGTCAAGGTAAGGTCACCTCTGTGTGTGTGTGTGTGTGTGTGTGTGTGTGTGTGTGGTTTGGGTTTAACTCAGGTCCCCCAAGCTAAGTTAAGTAGTGTTTAATTTGATTTACTTCGTCAGGTAGAGTCGGGTAACAGATAGGTGAGTGTGTGTGTGTATACTGTAGGAGGAGAAGGAGGAAGGGGAGGAAGAGGGGGATGAGGAAGAGGAGGAGGGTGCTAGGTCAGTTGGTTGTGACTCACCCGACAACAGTTGATGCTTTCTGAATGGTGGAAATTGGGGTCCAACTCTTCATTTACACGGTACGTCTCTTTCTTTTCAGTCACCCCCTCTACTCTCTCTCTCTCTCTCTCTCTCTCAACCCCTGCTCTTCCTCTCCTCCTTTCATCTTTGTATCCTATTACCTTCTCTTCCTCTCTCCACGTTTCACTCTCTCCTTGCTAGTTCTTCGTCTCCTTATTTTCCTTCACCTCACTCACTCACTCACTCACTCACTGAATCTCGAAGCGCAGAGTCAGGTTGAACCATCATTAAATATTCTGAAAGGAACAAATCACTTACTTCTTTTTCCTTTCAGATAACTTCACGTTCAACTGAAGAAACCCAAAGTCCCGAACGTCTGTGGCATTACCTCCCACACCTCTGTAAACTGTGAGGAGGAGGTAGAGGGGAAAATCTTCAATAGTTACCCCTTAAATATTAACCAAAGAAAACCTCTGCTCGTGACACGTGATGGTGTGTCTTGACCTTGATAGCTGTTAAAGCACGTTAGTGATAAGAACAACAGCTGTGACGCTTAAAAAGATAAATAGAGTAAAAGATAAACATCAAATTGAAATGGACGACGAATAATTGATGACATTTTGAAGGTGTCAGTTTCATCATTGCTTCTACGAGCGGAAGCAACGACAACAACAGCTTCAACAGTAACAACATCAACAGCAGCAGTAACAGCAACAGGACGCCAAAATGTATGGGATGCTGCTTGAGAGTGTTATGTACTTCGGCAGAGTAAGTAGCTACTGTATTCTGTGTGTGTGTGTGTGTGTGTGTGTGTGTGTGTGTGTGTGTGTGTGTGTGTGTGTGTGTTTGAATTGAATTGAATTGAAACAGTTTATTTAGCCAGAAAAACACAGATACAGAGTAGATAATAATAACAATATTAACATGGCTGAGCCAGTTGAGAACCTGAGCTGCACCTGATATATACTATACATTTATCTCAAGGAAGTATTATGTAACATTTAGTATCATCTGGAATAGTACAATAGCATGGTGGTAATAAGAACGTCTCATAATGTTACCACGGTTATCACTTCAATATTTATTTATTTTATTTATATATTTACTTATTGTTTTTTTTATTATAAGTATATACATAAATTACAGTGGAATTGAAAAACATAAGTATAATGGGGGAGCAGTACAACCTGGGATGTACAGTAATAAGGTTGAACAAGAGGACAGAGCTGTCAGGATTATGTCTAGTTGGCAATTATGTTTATTGCAATGGTAATTACTTATTTATTTGCATGATAATTACCGATAAAACGGTTTTGATGGTGCAATAACAGCAGGTACTGTAAATATAGTAAGTGTTACAAGAAGTATTAATACTTAGACAATAGATATTTTTTTAGAGATGATTTAAAGGAAGGGAGGGTAGTCTTTGCTCGGATGGGTGGGGGTAAGTTGTTCCACACCTTCACACCTGATATTTTATGGAGGTCTGGGACTGAGAGGAGCGCATGGGGGGTGGTCTTAGTAGCTCTGGGTGCCTTAAGTTGTATCTCTGATTATTCCGGAGCTGGAAATAATTATTGTCAAGCAAGTGATTGATAGATTTGTAAACAAAGAGGGCACAGCAGTAGGTGTTAATATCCTCGAATTTAAAAATTTTCAATATAGCAAATTTCTCGTTTGTGTGATGTTTTTTTCAAGTAGGTCATTGTCCGTACAACTCTCCTTTGTGCAGTAACCAGAGATCGTGTTTTTGAAGAGCCAGAGGCCCCCATAGTGTGTGATAGTGTATCAGGTGTTGGTAAACAAGATCATGATAGATTTCTTTCATTGCTGTGAGAGTGAGTGACTGTCGAGTGTGATACATGATACCGCACTGTTTATGGCTGTGAATGGCTTGTATGTGGTTTTTCCAGTTAAGTTTATTCAGCTTTAGGGTATACTTACATTATAAGGATCCCTGAATACCCACCCCCTGCCCTCTCCCGTTCCCTCTCTCCTTCTGCCGTCTCCTCTTACCTCCCTTCCCCTCCCTTCCCGCTCTGCCCCTCCCTTCCCCTCCCGCCCTGCCCCTCCCCTCCCGCCCTCACACCCTCCACCCCGTCCATTCCCGCCTCCACTCCTGCCCACCTCCTGCCCTCAGCCTCTCCCGCCCTCTACAAACACTGGCAGATTCCAGAGGCGGAAGGCTTTACTGAGGGACGAGAAAGTTATCTACCGAGTACCACAAGTTGTTAATTAATGATGGCGACTCCACCACCCCAGGAGGGATTGAGGAGGGGAGGGGTGGGTGAGGGGAGGGGATGGGAGAGGAGGGGAGGGGTGGGGTGAGGGGACGGGGATGGGAGAGGAAGGGAGGGGTGGGGTGAGGGGGGGGACGGGGATGGGAGAGGAGGGGATAGGAGTAGACAGAAGAGAGAGGGAAGGGAGAGGAGTAGAGGGGAGAGGATGGGATAGGAGAGGAGGGAAAGGGGGGGTGAGGAGGGGGAGGAGGAGGAAGAGAAAGGAACAAAGGAGGAATAAAAAAAGATTAAGGACTAAAGAAGGGAGGAAGAGGATGAGAAAGAGAAAGGAATAAGGGAGGAAGGTTAAAGAAGGAATTAGAGGGTTAGGTAAAACAAGCTGGGGTGTCTAATCATCTGGTGATCCGAAACATTTTCTATGATCACAACAAAACTCTAGACGTTAGAGTAATAATCCAATCAGGTTATTGATGGATAGAAGTGAAGGGAGGAAGGATAATTAAAGTTGAATGTTATAGTCCCTTGAGAGATGCAAAGGTCGGGGTATATTATTATTAATTATTATTTTTATTAACAGTAGTAGTATAGACAGACAGACAGACAGACAGACAGACAGACAGACAGGCAGGCAGCGTTAACCTAAATAGATCACACAGTTGATACAAAACAATCGGTGTGTGTGTGTGTGTGTGGGTGGGTGATTTATGGTAGGGCTCCCTCTAAAGTTTCTAAGCACACACACACAGCCTTGGTTCCTCCATTACTGTGATCGGTCTACCCTAAAATATCCTCCTGTGTTCCTCTCTACGTCACCAGTCAGTCGACACAAATACCGCTGGCCCGTCCTGATCATCGTCTTGTTGTTCTTCCTGTTCTTGTTCTTGTTGTCCTTGTTGTTGTTGTTTTCTTGTTCTTTTTCTTCTTGTTCTTCTTGTTCTTCTTCTCCTTCTTCCTTCTTCTTCCCTACAATTTCTCGCTATTATACAACTGTGTTATTGTGTCTACCTCCTCCCCCCCCCCCTTTCAACACCCTCTGCTCCTCACACCTGCTCATAATACACCTGAGCTTCCCCTACACCCGTGGGTCTTAATTACTATACACCTGTGGGTTTGAGGTGTTTGTTTTGATTTGTACCCGAGGACATTATTGGTCGGTTGTAGCTCGATTCTAGGTCTTGGATTGGCTCATTATAGTGGTAGAAACTCTCTCTCCACACTACCATACTTGTCACCATTACCACCATTATACCTCAACCATGTGCACCATAACTTCAACATGCCACTACCATCACACCGCCTTATCTTACACTGGTGTCTCTCTCATTACCGCCTGTGAGAGAGAGCTGTTACGGTGCCTCAGACTAACACACACGAGACAGAACCAACACCTTAGCATCTACCCAGTAACACACACGAGACACAACCAACACCTTAGCATCTACCCAGTAACACACACGAGACAGAACCAACACCTTAGCATCTACCCAGTAACACACAAGAGACACAACCAACACCTTAGCATCTACCCAGTAACACACAAGAGACAGAACCAACACCTTAGCATCTACCCAGTAACACACAAGAGACAGAACCAACACCTTAGCATCTACCCAGTAACACACAAGAGACAGAACCAACACCTTAGCATCTACCCAGTAACACACACGAGACACAACCAACACCTTAGCATCTACCCAGTAACACACACGAGACAGAACCAACACCTTAGCATCTACCCAGTAACACACAAGAGACAGAACCAACACCTTAGCATCTACCCAGTAACACACAAGAGACACAACCAACACCTTAGCATCTACCCAGTAACACACACGAGACAGAACTAACACCTTAGCATCTACCCAGTAACACACACGAGACAGAACCAACACTTTAGCATCTACCCAGTAACACACAAGAGACACAACCAACACCTTAGCATCTACCCAGTAACACACACAAGAGACAGAACTAACACCTTAGCATCTACCCAGCAACACACACAAGAGACAGAACTAACACCTTAGCATCTACCCAGTAACACACACAAGAGACAGAACCAACACCTTTAGCATCTACCCAGTAACACACAAGAGACAGAACTAACACCTTAGCATCTATCACCCAGTAACACACAGGAAGCAGAACCAAGACCTGGCATTCTTACCCAGTAAACAGACACAAGAGACAGGAACCAACACCTTAGCATCTACCCAGTAACACACAAGAGACAGAACCAACACCTTAGCATCTACCCAGTAACACACAAGAGACAGAACCAACACCTTAGCATCTACCCAAACACACAAGAGACAGAACTAACACCTTAGCATCTACCCAGTAAATACACACAAGAGACAGAACCAACACCTTAGCATCACCCAGTAACACACACGAGACAGAACCAACACCTAGCATCTACCCAGTAACACACACGAGACAGAACCAACACCTTAGCATCTACCCAGTAACACACAAGAGACAATAAACCAACGCCTTAGCATCTACCCAGTAACACACAAGACACAGAACTAACACCTTAGCATCTACCCAGTAACACACAAGAGACAGAACCAACACCCAGCATCTACCCAGTAACACACAAGAGACAGAACCAACACCTTAGCATCTACCCAGGTAACACACACGAGACAGAACTAACACCTTTAGCATCTACCCAGTAACACAAGAGACAGAACTAACACCTTAGCATCTACCCAGTAACACACACACGAGACAGAACCAACACCTTTAGCATCTACCCAGTAACACACAAGAGACAGAACCAACACCCCACACAGAACCAACACCTTAGCATCTACCCAGCAACACACACGAGACAGAACTAACACCTTTAGCATCTACCCAGCAACACACAAGAGACAGAACCAACAACCTTTAGCATCTACCCAGTAACACACACGAGACAGAACTAACACCTTAGCATCTACCCAGTAACACACAAGAGACAGAACCAACACCTTAGCATCTACCCAGTAACACACAAGAGACAGAACCAACACCTTAGCATCTACCCAGTAACACACAGGAGACAACACCTTAGCATCTACCCAGTAACACACAAGAGACAGAACCAACACCTTAGCATCTACCCAGTAACACACAAGAGACAGAACCAACACCTTAGCATCTACCCAGTAACACACACGAGACAGAACTAACACCTTAGCATCTACCCAGTAACACACAGGTCCCCCCCCCATCCCTCCTCCCTAAAGCAGTACAGAGTTGATGCCTTAATTAAACTTACCTGAAGACACTAATTAAGAAAGAACTTTTAGGTTAATTAGAGGAGAGTAGAGAGGTGACACAGGTGTTAGTTGATCAATTGTCTACCGTAATAAGATGTATCAAGTATAATTATGAAGCAAATAACAAGGTCATTAGACTGTTAGGTGTTATAAGAGACTAATGTAAGGATGTAAGTACCTCTGGCAATACGTTCCCTCGTGTCATAGTTTATATAATATGGCATTTGGACAGAGATATGGCCATACTAAAACACTG